GGAAGGAAGGAAGGAAGGAAGGAAGGAAGGAAGGAAGGAAGGAAGGAAGGAAGGAAGGAAACGTAATGGAAAAGCTTCACGGCTACAACAACAAAATGATATGTTATTGCCACAGTGGTACACACTGACACACACTGTTGCCATGGTGATGCACACGAGCACAACCTTCTTTCAAAGTTCTCAGGAATCAATGAACCCACCCTCATTTCACTTCTGAGTACAACTGTAAAGAAAAAATAATTCAAACTCCAGAAAATGTCACCAGCATGTAACTGCTCAATGCAGGACTGCGTTCAGACTTTAGAGCCGGAGCCTAGGCTTTGGAAACAGTTGCTAACATACCTACTCCAACACAAACCACAACACAACATGGAAAACCAGCCTTATGGAAGGTGTATATGGGGAGAAGGCAAAAAGAAAACTCATGTCCTGTACATGTACAGTTTTAGTTTTTTTATTTTAGTCTTACCTTTGTAATATAAAACTTTTTCAATCCATCTAAAAATGATGTAAAAATAGAGGAGACCTGAGGTTTAAGAGCATGACCTAGGAAGAGAGAAGTGTACAGTTTAAGTTAATAGCAAATTATGTGTTTTTGAGATCAAAAGATGGCTTAATTATTTTAAATATTTTCTTTCCTTAATCCTAAGGAAACCAAGTTTAGCAGTTGTAACTTACATGGCTGTTTATATTAAAATCTTTTCCCTCTACATTCTTTCAAAGATGACAGTGTTTTACTTATAAAAGCCATTTTGTTTTTAAGTCAAATTACCACATGTAACTAATACTATACCTAATTGCAGCTACCGCTCAATGTATGGTTTATACACAATAAAACCACCCCATTAATTTTTATTTTAAGAATACCCAGTGGTGGCTGGTTTTGCTATTATTTTTTTTTAATTATACAAAAACCACACAGAACCATAACCAAATATGGAGTCCATGTAAAGTTTAAGGTTGTTTCTTAATTAATTCTTAACTCATCCAGAATTCTTAGCATAAAACTAGCAATTGCTTCCTTAATCACACTCAGGGAGTTAAAATTGCCAAAATAACACAAATAGCATTTCCAAGCCTGTTAAATTAACATTGCTGCCTGCAGATGAAGCTTAATTGAGTGAGAACCTTCTACTGTTTTCTCATCGTCTCCAAAGAGGAGCAACTTCTCAGCACTGGGGAGAGCTACATTCCCATCCCACATCTGGCCTTAGTACTGTCAGCCTAATTCAGAAAAATGTGACATCCCTTTAGGCAGAATTTTCAAAAACAATCTTCAAGTACTTAACAAACCTAAGATTATCTTCAGGTTTTTTCCTAGTCTTCTGTGGTTGAGGATTCTGAAGTATAAGATCTTCCTTTAAAAGACATGCAAACAGCAAACTAGCTGTTTCTAAAACAATCACTGCCAATCCTTTGTTCTAACCCACCTATTTTTAAGTGAGAATTTGAATATATATTCACTACATTTTTGCTATTTGTAGTGAGGAAACTAGGTTACACAAAAGACTAAGAAAAATAAGTTATATTACACAGAGACTAAGAGACCCATGCTACAGCTAAGACAGTGAAAAGATGGAAAAAAACAAGCAAGATAGCAAACAAAGAAAATGAACTGCGGGATGGATAGAGACCGACTTAACAGTGTTTCTGAGCCCCTGAATCTAAAGTTGATTTGTTTAGAAACTTTTCTCTCCTCTAAGAGGTCACAGAGGTTTCTCCAGTGTAACTATGCTTTAAAAGATAATTTTAGCATCTATAAACCTAGAAATAGCACCTCATCACAATGCTCACTTCAAATCGGTCGCAGTGGTGCACACCTGTGATCCCAGCACTCAGGGAGGCAGATGCAGGCGGATCTCTGTTTGAGACCAGCCTGGTCTACAAAGCGAGTCCCCAACAGCCAAGGCTACACAGAGAAACCCTGTCTCAAAAAAACAACAACAAAACAAAACAGAATGCTCGCCGAATAAGACTCCTCCTACATCAATAACTGAAATTAAACAAATAAACCTGTTGCACTGTGTCTGGGGACTCAGAGCCATAACCCCAGATATTCAAGAGGATGAAGCAGGAGAAATGAAAGTTCAAGCCCTACCTGAACTAAGACTGAGTTTAAGGCCAGGCTGGGCAACTTTTTGAAATCCTGCCTCTAAAAGTGAAAAGAGGGCTGAGATAGCATCAGTGGCAGAATGTTTCCCTAGCATGCCTGAAGCCAGCTTTAATCCCCACTACCACTAAAGTACTGCGTATGCCTTGATTTCGTGCCGAAGACTTATGCTTTACACAAAAGTCTTCAAAAACACTTACCTCTGTACAATGCATGGGAACTGCAAATGTTACTAATCCTGTGTGAATAATCCTGAAGGATACATGATCACCTTAATCCGCTGACTCTGATGGGCATCACCCCTATTACAATGGTGGGAGTCAGCCACATTCATCCAGAACCCTGAATTAATTAATTACTGTGAAGGTGATACTGATTTTAGATGGGTCGAGCATTAGTAAGAACTTGAAGATAGCACTGTTTTATTTTTTTCATCAATTTTCTGTTTCCTATCAAAATATTATATACCAAATATATTTTGGTTAGTGTGCTTTATCTTTATAGTAAATTAATTTCAAATTTCTTAGTCAGAAAGTATGATTAGCATCAATTAGCATACAGTATCAATTTCATGGTATTATAATGTTAAATCATGTAAAGGGAGTGGTTAACAATGTTTCTGAAGTAATCTGACACAGTTAAAGCACAGAGCTTTAAATCAGGCCAACTGAGTTTGATTACAACTCCCCCACCCACAGCTAACCCATCAGCTTGAAGAGCAGCTAAAGGGCAGTCTGTGAGAAATTGTCCTCAGCTTTGTACTACAGTTACCTAGGGTTGTTCGTTCTCTTTTTGCCAGTTCAGTGATTAATTCAACTTAAATATATAATATGTGGTAAGTGCAGGAGATAGAGACATAAAAATATTCCTCAAAATTAGATAAGTTCAGTATATTGTATTTAGGGTTGAACCAGGAGAAATAAAAATACTAAAAATATAATTAATAAGCCTTGTACCTCATTAATTCATCAAGTAGCCACATGGCCAGTGCAGGGTCCTGGATAATACTTGCTGTGCTAAGAATTACTCTTTTAATTGCTTAATCATGAACCCATGATGGAATATTATAGAGACAGAATCTTCAATGGATACCAAAGAATCAAAAATGGTATAACCTAAAGGGAGAAAGTGTGGGCCAGAGGGGAGGGATATGTGCATATGGCCAAAATATGATACAGTTGAAAGACAGTCTCATTATGAAAGCCAACACCCCATACAATGACTATATACCAATAAAGAAAGTAAATAAAATCACAGTCAACCCAGAGGCACAGTACTTCAAAAGGGTCTCCTGGTGGCTAAGGGGAGAGGAAACTCTAGATTTCACAAGGTCCAACACTGTATGCAAACTTTAAAAAATAAAAGTAAAAGCAAGGACTAAGTCTAGAAGTAGAAGGGTGCAGTTGGTACATCTCTAGGCAAAGAGAATAAGAGGTAGATGGGGCACACCAGAACCTTTCTTCAAATGCCCGCTTTACATGGTCACACACCTGCTCAGGTAGAAAATCATTTCAAATTACAGCTGATTTTACAGATGTGTATGTCTAAGACAATTCACTACTTCAGTAACATGAAAAAGACACAGGTGGATATATGACTCTCTTAGACCTAGATCTGCGATTACAAACCAACACACAAAGGAGGTGTTTATTTCATAATTTGTGGGATACATTTATTTGAACCCTTCATCAATAGTACAGTTTTTTTTTCAAAGTAACATTTTTAAAAAATTAAAAGTGACTAACTTATGAAAATTTAATTTAAAAACTAATTCTTGATCTGTTAAGAACCTGGCATGTTTAGTTAAGTCGCTATATAATGTAATCATTTTTCCCTGCATTAAAATCTAATCTGCCCTTAGGCACATAGCCAAAAACCTGCCTAATTCAGCCTTTGCAGTTGCTACTGAGAAATGGCAATAATCTCAGGAATTGTTTCTGGGGTATTTAAATTCTTAACACTTAATCCCAAAGTAAATTTCAGCACATGAAAGACAGAGTAGGAAAAGGAAAACCAAAAAATTAAAAATACAATTAATAAAAGTTTAACATTTTAGAACACTGTTTTTTAGACATAGCTGCTTACTATTCTCTACCCAAATATCGCAGCAGCACCCCACAACCATCCACTGTAATACCTGTTCACTAACACTCCATTGCCAAACAACCAATCACTGCCTGGAGATGCTGTCAATCTTCCCCTCAGCTGGCACCTGCAGGTAGCTAATGGCTGTCCTGAAAATCTCCCCCATCCACTGCTGCCAGTCGCTCGGGGTGCTCCGAATTTGCCAGTGTTGTCTCACCACCCGGAGCTTCACAGCCTTCCACCCTGCTGCACTCTCTTTTACAGGACTGTGAGCCCTCACTAGACAGATCCACAAAGAGCAGCACCATGACACTCACCATTCTTTGAATACCCTGGCAACTTACTATGCACATTTTAAAATTGCCACTCTTACTCACCAAACTGAAACTGCTGGTTGTCCATGAGGCGGATGGATGCAGGAGCACATCTCTGTTAAGAAGGAGAAAGCAGGGAATCAGTCCAATACACTAAAAAGTCCCACAGCAGGACCCGACTGCCGACTATGTAAGACTTGAAGGACTTAGCTCCTGAAGATCCATAAAAACAAAAGAATCTCAATGTTTTATACAATTTCATGAAGACAAAACATCAGTGGCTTATAAAAATATTTGGAGAAATCTATAGATAAAAGCAATACTTAAATTGCTTTTAATCTTAGCAATTAAAATATACTTGTTGCCTGGCAAAAACCTATGAGAATAACTTAAAAGAAATGCCAGTCCTCAAAATGGACTACTTCATAACAAAGAACTTTTTAAGATTAAATACGTGCTTAAGAATTGCTGGTGTCCAAAAGGTGGTTGGCGCATGTCTTTAATTCCAGCACTCCCGAGGCAGAGGTAGGTGGATATGTATGAGTTCGAGGCCATCCTGGTCTACAGAGGGAGTTCCAGGACAGCCAGGGCTGCACAGAGAAACCCTGTCTCAAAAGAAAGAAAAAAAAAAAATGTAATACTGTGTAGGTTCTTGCCTAGTTTTCCTCCTTCTCCTCCATCTTCTCCTCTTTTTTGCTCCACGCACCTGCTGGGAGTGCTCTCCCACTCCGACATATCCTCAGCTTCTTGCACACTTTTACAATGAGGAAGACAGTAGTGGAGATTTTTATACGCCAAGGAATTTCCAAAAATTATCTGAACTATCTTCAAAGACAACTCTAGGAACCATTCTTTCTTTAAATCTTTCTGCACAATGGTTTTAAAAAGAAACCCACAAACATGCAGTCAAAGTTCTGTGCTCTCTCAGGGTTACTTGTAACGCAACAGCAATGAAACTTTGATGGTTAAGAATATGTATCTACGCTGGGCAGTGGTGGTGCATGCCTTTAATCCCAGCCTCATCTACAGAGGGAGTCCAGGACAGCCACAACGGTTACACAGAGAAACCCTGTCTCAAAAAAGAAGCAAACAAAAAGAATGCATATCTAAAGACTCCAAGGTTGCTCCAGTGATGTACATCTAGGAATAAACTACAAGTTGCAAGGAAGAAGTGACAACAACACAAAACACAAGTGAAGGCAGCAGGCGCACTGCGGAGCCTCCGCCCGTAGATCTGAAGTCTACAACGTGCACCTTATTAACACCACGTTTTGGATTTGGGATCATCTGGGTTTGCAGACTGCCGATGTCCAACTAGGAATGTATGGAAACATGTGACATGAACACAAACACTCATAGCAAGACTGCAGACAAGATACTCAACTTGCACTCTATTACTTTACGACGATAAAAACTATAAAAGGGTCTGAAGCCCAAACACGGTTGCTGTTTCCTGTACAAGATTTTACATCTAACGTTTTACCAAGGGATGTTTTTAGAGCAGATATTTTGAAAAATGCTGTGAACATGTTTTGCAACAGGATTTTGCTATATAGCCCAGACTGCCTCCAACCTCCTCCCCACACCCTTACTGTCCCAGCCTTTAAAACTGCCATAAACTTTCTAAACATCTGTCACAGTACCATTTATCAATAAAGTCTATAAACTCCAAAACTTCCTAAAACCTTAAAATGTGCGTTATAATATTATTTGCTATTACTTGCTTTTAGTTAACAAGTCTTTAATTCTTATAAAAATATAAAACAAAATTTTATCCAAAATAGGTAAGATTCTTATTTTAAAACCTAAACAGTTACTTACTCATCTAAATACTAAAGATGAAGTAACTCAGTTGACTTTTCAGAGTCACTGGCAGATGTGAAGGGGGAGTACGGGGGATCTTGACACATAGTGACAACCCATCACCTCACACTACACAGGGTGCTGTGCTTCCCAACTGCTGCCCTGTTTTTATTTCACACATTAGTGGCCCTGTCACGGCAGTAGAACTTGTACTAACTGCTTTTCAGACAGATACATAAGAAATGGGATTAAAATACTTGTTCAAGGTTGAATAGCTATGAAACAGCAAAGAAGAGACCGAGATACCGTTAAACAGTTTCAAGTTCACCCTTAAACACACACACAAAATCACTAAATACGCAGTGCCTAGCTTCATAGTCAAATCAAAGATTACATCAAAACTATCACACTGGCCATTCTGTGGTCTTACTAACAGTGTAATTTTGGTATAAAGGTATTATAGTTTGATCAAAGATCCTAAAAGCACAACCAATTTTCAAAATACTAAAGGAAGGTCAATTTTCTTCACATTTACAAAGCCAGATGCCTTTAATAAAGTGAGCACAGTCACTTCTAATAAAACATGTGAAACCTGATTAAGCCAAATTTCCTTTCTTCACAAAATAAGTAGAATTTATTCAATTTCCATTAATTCTCTCCCTTAGTTCCAACAACACAGATTAATCCACTTTGCAAAAGTAAGCCTAAAGCTTAGAGTGTTGATGTAAGGTCCCCAAGGCCAAAAACTCAGCAGTAATGAGAAGTGTCTTTGTAACCCTCTCTATATCACTGTCAGTCCAAATATAATTCTATAAAATAAATGGCATTCAGCTAATAATGGCTTGGAAATGAGAATTTCCTGAGAGTCAAGTACCCTGTGACACTTTGGGGGTTTTGTTTTTGTGTTGTATTTTTTTTTTAATTTTATGTACATTGGTATTTGCTGCATGTATACCTGTGTGAGGGTGTCAGATTTTGTAGTTACAGACAGTTGTGAGCTGCCATGGGGTGCTGGGAAATTGAACTCAGGTCCTCAGGATAGCATCAGTGCTCTTAACCACTGAGCCATCCCTCCAGCCCCTCTGTGACACTTTGTAATGGTTTTCCATTTTCAAAAAGGGATGTGAGCCTCTTCACGTCTGGACCAACAGTCTCACTCCCACCCTTGTGCTGGAAACCCCAGGGCCACCCTTTACTAGTGAGGGTTTGCAGGTTCTGAGTACTTGTTGTACTGTAAAGCCAGCCAAACTCGTACATCTCATGAGATGGTATCTACAGACACACATGTTTATACGTTCTGGCATAAGATCACCATAAAATACTGAAGAATTCAGAGGGTTTTTTTTTGGGGGGGGGGCAAATTCCTGATGAGAACTGTAAATTCTACCGGCTCCCACCAGCCAGATCCCACTTCACTGCCTCAAGGACAGTGCTATTCATGAAAATAAGTAACTCACATATGTGCTGAGGAAAGGGAGGCGAAGCACCCGCTCTCAGTAAATGCCTGTGTTTGGGAGGAGAGCTGATTACCAGGTATCTTCTGGGGTGGGAGCACTCAGAAACTACAGATAAATCCTGACTCCACTGTAAGAATCTGTATTTGCTTTATTCCCTTAAGCTGGAAGTGGCTCCCTTGTTCTCTATTCATTCTGTCCAGGTTTTACTTTATTTTTGAGACAGGGTTTCACACTGTAGCCAGAATGGCCTGAAACTCACTATGCAGACTAGGCTGCCCTTGAATTTACAGAGATCCACCTGTCTTAGCTTACCAACTGCCGGGATTAAAGGTGTGCTTAAAGGCTGCCACAGAACATGGGAAGGGCAAACTTTTAAGATGCAGAGACTTAGACTGTGCTACCCATCAAGGACTACTAGCAATAAAGTCCATGCCAGCCTCTCCCGCTTGCCAGTCTGGCTGCATGTTGGTAAAGGAAAATGCTGGACAGCTGTGAGCACTGTTAGAGTAAATGCAAAATGGTTCAAGGTGTCCTGGAGGCTACGGAATGGAGTACCATTCTGTCTCAAACAATTTAACTATCAGAATGTACTATCTTCTTAAATATGCAAATAAAAGTACTTTAAAAAAAGAACCTGCTCTAACTCCCTAGATATGACCATGTATGGTGCCTGTAACTTAATTCCCAACAGGTCACAATCATGTGCATGAGGAACAGACACTGGACCTACGAAGTGAATATGCAGGTGACACTGCACTATTTACCCTATGTATAAATTTTCCAAAATTGAAAGAAGCTGGGAAACAGGCAAGAAAGCGCCAGCGTACTTGCTAGACGTGTAGTTGCCAATACTCACCCAGACTGAATGTGATTTTTAACTTGGTAGCTGAATTACATGAGCAAATACTACCCCAAAACAAAATTTTCAACACTGAACTTTAGAAATAAGTTATCAAATTCAAGTCAAGAGACTTAAAATTTCATATTTTTCCAAACTCAACAAATAGTTTTCCAGTTGCTGTCTTAAGTAAATACACACGAGCAAAGAATTTAAATAAAAAATAGCATTTAGATTAGTCTGCTGGCTTTTGGCAACTGATAATTCGTAAATCACTACACATCATTCTAAATATACTTTACACATTTACTTAGAATTTGAAATAATTAAAGTTACCAGAGCAACTCATCAAGGAGAAGTTCCTATAATCATAAAACCAAAAACCATGTCCCTGGTCTTAAAGTGCATATAGGTTGTTTCTATGGCTTTCAAAACTAACTGGGGAGGTTAAGCTAAACACAAAACTCTTTCAAGGACCGAGTACAAACTCCAAGAACCAGAGTTCAAAGTCACACCATACTATTCAGTAAGAAATACTGAGAACACTCCCACCAGTCAGGGAGCGCAAGGAGCCCTGGCGCTACAGTGACCCCTGCTGGGAGGTGTCAGAAGTAACCTAGGAGGTGATGTTGCAGTAAACTGCAGTTATGGGTTATTAAATCCAAGAGAGATGGCTCCGTGGTTAAGAGCTCGGTCTGCTCTTCCAGAAGTCCTGAGCTCAATTCCCAGCAACCACATGGGGGCTCACAACCATCTGTACACTCTACCGCCCTCTTCTGACATGCAGATGTACACGCACATAGAGCATTCAAAATAAATAAAATCTTAAAAAAAAAACTGACCTTTAAAAAAAGAAATCCAAGTCTTTAACAATATGCAAACAAATACTGCCTACTCCAACTAAAGTTAATAAAATAATTAAGTGCACTTACTAGAATTTCTCATGCATCTGACTTGCATCACCTAGCTATGTCTTATAGCATAAAAAGGTATAAATAAAATCCTATGGGGCACTAA